TTAGCTCAGCACACAGGTTGAATAAGTATGTTGAAAGAATACAACCCTGTTGCACACCTTTCTTAATTTTAAACCATTCAGTGTTTCCATGTTCTGTTCGAGCAACTGCCTTTTGGTCTAGGTACAGATTCCTCATGAGTACGATTAAGTGTTCAGTAATACTCATGTCATGATTCACACAATCAAAAGCCTTTGCATAGTCAATAAAGCACAGGTAAACATCTTTCTGGTATTCTCTGCTTTCAGTCAAGATCCATTAGACATAAGCAGTGATATCCCTCATTCCCACGTCCTCTTATGAATCCGGCTTGAACCTCTGGAAGTTCTCTTTCAGTGTGTGTTTGTAGCCGTTTCTGTATTACCTTTAGCAAAACTTTACTTGCATGAGTTATCAAAGAGATTGTCGGATGATTTCCTCATTCCCTTGGGTCACCTCTCTTTGGAATGGGCACAAATATGGATATCTTCCAATCAATCGGCCAGATAGTGGTCTTCCAAATTTCCTGGCATAGATGAGTGAGTACCTCCAGTGCCACCTCACTTCCTTGAAAGATTTCAATTTTTCCCCAATTCCTGGTGCCTTGTTCTTTGCAAATTCCTTCAGTGCACCTTGGACTTCTTCCTTCAGTATTATTGACCCTTGATCATATGCTACCTCTTGAAACAGTTGAACATGAACCATTTTCTTTGGGTACAGTGACTGTGTATTTCTTCCATCTTCTTTTGAGGTTTTCTGCATCATTTAATAATTTGTCCAGAGAATCCTTCAATAATGAAAGTCGAGGCTTGAATTTTTCCTTCAGTTCCCCCAGCTTGAGAAATGCTGAGCGTGTTCTTCCCTTTTGGTTTTCTGACTCCACACCTTCGCACATTTCATTGTAATATTTAACTTTGTCTTCTTGAGCTGACCTTTTGAAATTTTCTGTTCAGCTCTTGTACCTCCTCACTTCTCCCATTTGCTTTAGCATCTCTACACTGGAGAGCAACATTCAATGTCTCTTCTGACATCCATTTTGATCTTTTCCTTCTTTCTTATCTTAATGACATTTTGCTTTCTTCATGTATGACGTTCTTAATGTCATCCTGCAACTCTTCTGGTCTTTGATCTTTAGTGTTTAATGTATCAAATCTGGTCTTCAGATGAGCTCTAAATTCAGGTGCGATATATTCAAAGTCATATTTTGGCTCTCATGGCCTTTTTTCATTTTCTTCACCTTCAGTTTGAATTTGCATTTGAGCAGTTGATGTTCTGTTCCACAGTATACCCCTGACCTTGTTTTGGCTGATGTTATGGTGTTTTTCCATCATCTGTTTTTACAGATGTAGTGAATTTGATTTCTGTGTATTCCATCTGGTGAGGTCCATGTGTGTGATCATCTCTTGTACTGTCTAAAGAAGGTATTTGAAATGAACAAAGCATTGATTTTGCAGAATTTTATCTTGCAATCTCCAGCATCATTTCTACTACCACTTATCTGTTAGTTTGTTGTACTGTGATGGCTTGTGAGTTGCTGTGATTCTGGAAGCTATACCAATGGGTATTTTAAATACCAACAGGGTCACCCATGGTATACAGGTTTCAGATGAGCTTCTAGACGTAGACAGACTAGGAAGAAAGAGTGACAAACTGCTTTTGAATATTTAGTCACTGAAAACCTTATGAATAGCAGAGAATCACTATCAGATATAGTGCCAGAAAATGAGCCCCTCAGGTTGGAAGTCACTCAAAATGCGACTAAGGAAGAGATTCCTCCTCAAAGTAGAGTTGACTGTGATGACATGAATAGAGTAAAGCCCATGGGAGGAAAGCCCGCAGGACTTTGATTTTCTGGTGTTACACAACTCAAAATGAAGAGAAACAGCTGTAAACATCCATTAATAATCAGAACATGTAATGTATGAAGTAGTGAATCTAGGAAAACTGGAAACTGCCAAAAATAAAATGTTATGCATAAACATCGCTAGCTTAGGCATTGGTGAGCTGAAATGGACTGATACTGGCCATTCTGAATCTGACAACCACATGGTTTACTCTGCTGGGAATGACAGATTGAAGAGGAATGGTGTTGCATTCATCATCAAAAAGAATATATCCAGACCAGTCATGAGGTACAACGCTGTCTGTGATAGGATAATGTCCATGCACCTACAGAGAAGCCCAGTTAATACCACTAGTATTTAAATTTATACACCAACCAGTAAAGCCAGTAAGGATGAAATAGAAGAATTCTACCAACTTCTTCAATCTGAAATTGATCAAACATGTAATCAAGATGCATTGATCAGTACTGGTGATTGGAATGCAAAGGTTGGGAGCAAAGAGGAAGGATCAATAGTTGGAAAATACGGCCTTGGTGATAGTAGTATTCATAATAGCCCAAAAATAGGAAAACGTAGATGTTCATCAACAGATGAACAGATATACAAAATGTGGCATATCCATATAGTGGAATACTAGCTGTGAAATACAACTTGATACATGCTACAATATGCATGAAAACATGTTAAGGAAGTGAGACACAAAAGGCCACGTAGTATATGATGCCATATCTGTGCATCTGTAAGATGGAATTGCTTTATTAAGTGCCGTCAAGTCAGTTCCAACTCATGCAACCCTATATAGAGTTTCTGATATATTGGTGAGCTTGAACAAGGTCCAGCGCCTTGCAGCCCACGGTAACCCTTAGCACCACAGCAGGAATAACAATAGGCATATCTGTAGAGACAGAAAGTAGATTTCCTGGTTGTCAGGGGCTGGGAAGAACAGTGAATGGAGTGTGGTTGTTAATGGCTATGGGCTTTCCTTTGGGGATAATAAAATTTTTCTAAAATTGATTATAGAACTTGTAGAACTATCAATATGTGAAAACTCTCTGATTTAGGCACTTTAAATAGGTGAATTGTATGGTATATGAATTATGAGGGGGCTTCAGAAGGTTCATGGAAAACTAATTAAAAGATTAGGAAGTTTTTCCATGACTTTTTGAAGACTTTGAATGACTTGACAAACCTGTTTAAAAGTTTTTTAAACAATAATTGTTGTTGTTGTTATGTGCAGTGGAGTCAGTTCTGACTTATGACAACCCTGTACAGGGTTTCCAAGGCTGTAAATCTTTACGGGAGCAGAAAGCCTCATCTTTCTCCCATGGAACAGCTGGTAGTTTCGAACTGCTGACCATGGAGTTTGCCAATAATGTATCATCTCAAATATGTACCTGTTTTTCATTTCTCTGTTAAAGCAGCATTACCTGTGTGCATAATTATTTATTAGCCACTCTGTTACTAAGGAATCCTTAGTTGTATTTACTAGCGATCATATTACTAAGGTGGCGTGGTGGGTTAAGCATTGGGCTACTGACCAGGAAAGATCAGCTGTTCAAGCCTTCCAGACACGCCTTGAGAGAAACAGGAGGCTGTCTGCTTCTGTAAGGACCTGCAGCTTCAGAAATCTGTGGAGTAATTCTTCTATTCTGTAGGGGCGCTGAAGGATAAGCACTGGACTAGGTCGGCGGTTCATACTCAGCAGCCACTCCTTGGAAAGCGTATACAGGGTTGCTGTGAATCAGAACTGATTTGATAGCGCTTAACATAAAGACCTCTGTAAGGGAGAAGTAATAGATGGCAGTGACTTATATCTGTGTCTTGAATTTTTTGCCTGGTGTAGCAACTTGGCACTCCAATGATTGCCGTCTGAAAATTGATTGCCGTCTTGGGTTATCCGCCCACTGCTGTCGAGCTGATTCCAGCTCATAGTGACCCTACAGAACAGTAGAACTCTGCCCCATAGGGTTTCCAAGACTCCATTTATGCGAGCGGGCCATCTCATCTGTCTCCTAAGAAGTTGGGTTGAATCACTGACCTTGTGATTAGCAGCCAGTGCTTAACCCCCTACACCACTAGGAATCCTTCCAGTTGGGTTAATGGACATGAAATTGTTGCCAAGTAACAAAATATGCCATGAAGTCTCTGGGCTTCCCTGGGAGGCCATTGGGGAAGGGAGGATATGGCTCCTGTGAAGTGCAGAACTGGGGAAGTACACTGGTCTCTGCCTCATTCCCAACTTCGGCTCCAACTGCACCTCTACTGCAGCTGGCTTCTCATGGCCCCTCTATCTCTCCAGATCTACTCCATAGTTACATTGGTGCTCGCCTCCTGGGAGCAGCCTGCTCTCATCTCTCTGCGTTCCCTCCAGCGCTCTCACCAGGCTCTCTGTCTTTGCATGTCGGCTATGAGCTCCTCCAGGCTGGAGGTCCAGGCACACAGGCCCGATGCCAAACCCCTCTACCCCTCCATGTCTTCCTCCAGGGCCTTAACTCTCCAGGCTGGGCCAGCCTGTGACTTGTGGCAGTGTGATGTGGCCTTTATGGATGGGTTTGATAGTTTCCAACAAACCTAAGGGTCAGGGGAATGTCAGTCTCATTTCTGAGCCTCTGATTTGTGGGCAGCATCAGGTCCACCTGGGAGCAATTGTCCAGGTTCCATCCCCAGAGCTGCCATCTCCTAGCTGGGGCATCTGGGCAGAGTATTTACTACTCTGTGCTCCAGTTTCCTTATCTGCATAATGGCTGTGATGGCATGAATACTTTTGGTCCTCAGCCTGGCATAGTCAGACTCCCTCACTTGAGTCTGTGACGTTGGCGCTGGTGAGACTCTGCCTCAGCAGTAGGACCCACGGGGTGTAGGTTAGAGCTGGCTCTTTATGTCATTGAGTGGCCTCGGGTGTGTCTCCTTGCCTGTCACCTAGCTGTGAATCCCTCTACCCTGCACTATTCAGAGGGCCATGAGGAGCCATCTCCAACCTCCTGGGGCACGAAATGTCTGGTTGTGTCGGGAAGAATCCTACCCATGTGGAAACATTCAGGCAGCAGGACTCTAGTTATGGCTCCAGTCCAATGCTTAGGGCCTAATGGGTGTTCGGCGTTAAGTTTGTGGACTGACTCTTATGGTGCTGCACAGGGCTGTTGAGTCCACTGAGCCTTCACTTTGTGCTTCTCCCTCAGTTTCCAATGGGTCCTGGCTCTGATGGCCCAATGGGAGGCATGGGAGGCATGGAGCCACACCACATGAACGGATCATTAGGTAAGCCACCTGTTCCCGGGACACACCAGACCCTGCCTGGGCTGTCTCTGTGCCTCAGCTCCCGGTTCAGGCTTGCCTAGTATCTGGCCTCCATGGGGGTGAGCACACACAGAAAGGTCCTGAGAGAACAAGACGGTGCCCAGACAGAAAAGTGTTCTGCATCAGAACTGGTGGGGTTTGAGTGGGCGGACTTCGGGCCAGGCAAAACACAGAGAAGAGAGGGGGCCTTCTCTGATGCAGAAGCACAGCCACGGGAACGTGCACATGGAACTAAGCTGGAGTTTCCTTTCCTTGCAGGGTCAGGTGACATAGATGGACTTCCAAAAGTGAGTGTGCGTTGTGTATATATTTTCTCCCTGACAGCCTCCCCCGGCCCCCCGGGAATCCCAGGAAAGCTTTTCTCCCTCTGGGATGTGGGGGTGGTGGCAGCAGGTTGTGAAGACATGGGAGGTGTGACCTCACCTTACCTCCTATTTCCACAGAATTCTCCTAACAACATAAGTGGCATTAGCAATCCTCCCGGCACTCCGCGAGATGACGGCGAGCTAGGAGGGAACTTCCTCCACTCCTTCCAAAATGACAATGTAAGCCCCACTGGAATGGGACCCATGGTGCCATCCCATCCCTGGATGGCCATCCTGTCCCTCAGGCCTTCTCTCCCACCGCCACTTGAGTCCCACACCTGCAGGCTCTCCGGCAGCCTCACTCACTGTTTCTCTGTCCTGGGGAGGAGGAGGAAGGTTCATACAACCAGCCTTTTCCAGGGCTCTCCAAATGTGAAAAGGGTCAGCCAACTGTTTTTTGCCTTGGTTCGCTGTTACCGCTCCTATAAAAGAAACAGTGTTGTGATTGAGCTGGTTTTAAGAGCGCTACATGGGGGTCCCCACCTTAGCAGGGCTTGCTGGCTCAGCAGACCCCAGTTCCATGGTGAACTTCAGGAAAACAGCCTGTCCCACTGGGGAAGGTCAGAGGCAGCCATTTCCTTGGGCTGGGAAAAGGGGTGATTTGGAGAGGAATGGGCAGGAGGCTACACTTGTTCCCATAGTTCCTGATGGGCACAGCCTGGCGCTGAGATGGGACCCTGAGCATTCCTATCCAGCATGTCATGTGCCTCTCAGCCCAGCCAAACTCTGACAGATCCTGTTTGCCTATCTGCAGTTGAGCCTGCCTTCGTGAGACTGCTGGCATCTCAGCCCCCCCTTCCCCACAGTTCTCATGACCCTGTTTCTTTGCTTCTCCCCTTCCAGTATTCTCCAAGCATGACGATGAGTGTGTGATTCGCCCCTCCCTCCTCCTCTTCGAGATGCTGAGAGAACCGGCATTGCAGGCAGGAAGATGCCAGACATTATGCAAGAAGAAGTGAGGTGTCATTACCCAGGAACTGGTGGAGGGGCACCTCCCCACTCCCCGCAGCCCTCCACCCTCCCTCCATGCCCCCCACCTCTCCCAATTTTAGTTTCATGCAATAAAAAGGCCGAACTTTTTATTCCATAAAACATGAAGGACAAAAGTCAAAATCAAATATATTTCAAGTCAATGACCAGGAAAAAAAAAGAATCCCACCCGTGCCCTTTCCCAAAAGGACCGTTTATGTACGTGACACTTTTTTGTTGTTTTTATTTGGGGTTTTATTGTTGTTGGGATTTTTTTAATTTGTTTTCAGGGCGGGTTTTTTGGGGGAAAAATTTTTAAAAATGGAAGCTTCTAGCAAGCCCCCTCCCCCCCCATCCCAATCAACCTCTTTGCTTTCGTCTTTAAAAAAAGGAAAAAAGAAAAAAAAAAGAAGCAAACCCTGCTGCCTGTCTGTCCCAAAGTCCTTCCACCAGGAAAGCTAGTCTAGGTGTGAGATCTCACGCTGTCTTTGTAGCCATCTAAAAATAATAATAATAAACTGGACAGTTTACAATTGGTGGTTTCTTTCAAAAGGCCTTTTTTGGAAAGAAAAAGGAAGTCACCTTTTTCCATGTGGGGTTTTTGGTTTGTGTTAGGTGGGCAAGGGAGGGACAGAAACCTGTTTCGATTTTGCTCAATTTTTCCCAGCCAGCCATGGTGGCAACGACAACACACAACTCGGACCCCTTCCAGGTGGCTGGAGGGGCCGGACCACCCAACCTGCTTTAGGACCCCACCATGGCCCAGACCTTCGCCATGACCCAGTGGCATGCACTGTGTTCCCAGGACTGTGCCCTCCTTTTTCTCCTGGACCTCTCCTCCGCCCTGGCCGCCTGCCTCTCAGCCCCTGCCTGCTCCTCCCAGCGAGAATCCTGCCAGCTGGGTGGTGGCTGGAGCCAGCCAGGGAGAGGCTGCCACCAACAGAATGGCTATGACCTGGGACATGGAAACTGACCTCCGCGCTCTGGTCCCCCCAGTGACACACACCTTGTATCGTCGTCGTCGTCTGTGTATGGGCACGGCGGGCCTGGGCTTTTTATTTTGTTTTATTTTTGTTTTTTGTTTGTTTTGTTTTGTTTTTCTCTTTTTCAAAGATGGGATCCTGACCAGAACTGCTCTGTATACGCTTGGAACTAGAGGAAAGACTTTGGAATCGTGGTGGGTGGGGGTGGGACACCAACAATCAGACATGCTGTTTCCAGTCCTGTGTTTTTATTTTCAAAAACCTACCAACCCAGTGTGTCCCTCCCAGGAGGGTCAACTCATAGCCTCGCTCACCTCACCAACCCCCCCATCGAAACCTTTGTGTCTTTTCCTCAAAGACACCCGAATTCTTTGTACATTTACAGGCCCTCTCCTCTCTCCCCACCCCTGTAGCTGGTCTTTGTTTTATTACCCCCCCTTTCTGATTCATGTATATCATATTATGTGAGATATCATCTGCCTGAAAAAAGACCTTGTGCGGATTATTGGCAACATTGTAGCTGTTTCTGTGTTTTTTCTTACCTTGTAGTCTGGTTCTGAATTAAGAGAGGAAAAAAAAAAGTAATTATGATACATTGTAGTTTGTGTACGATATATGTTGATAAGGTTTTATTAAAGGGACATCTTTTTCCGCAGCCCTTCCTGACAATATTTGGGGGAATGTGGGTTGGAGTTTATTATCCTGATTACAAAGTGCAAGGTGACTGGGTGGGCACCAAGTTTTTGTTCCCAGGACATAACCAGATGTGTTTTTTATGGTGTCTGTCACCTTTTCTGAGCATGCTCACTATGCGTTTTCTGTACTGTTGCCATGACCTTAGGGCAGGATGGGCTGGAAGGGAGAGGCCATCAGCTTCACTTCAGATATTTGGGGACATTCTAAAAGTTTTGATTTCTTGTCGTGCAAACACATCTTGGTTTGCCAGAATGTTTTATGTTCTTATTTGGGAAGTAAAATATTCCTGGTGCCCTATTTCTAATCAGGAGCCAGTCTGGGCCGGGATAACCTGTGGGCTATAGCCTCAACCTGCTTTCTCCCCTTAAATGGCATTTGCTTTATCAAATGCCCACCCCATCCCGCCTTACCGCCACCCCCCACCCCAAGCCTGAATTGCTGTGTGGAGGGCAGGGGGTGATATATGCTGGGGTTGAGCTATGATCAGATGATCTCCTTAGATTCTGGCCCAGGAAGGTGGTTTTGTTTGTTGTTGTTTTTTTAAATACCGGAAAACACAATAGTTAACCGGTTCTAAAGGTCAGTGGCTCAAATCCACCAACTCCTCCCTGGGAGAGAGATGTGGCAATCTGCATCTAATTCATAGCAACCTGATGCACAACAGAACGAAACAAAGATCACCACCTTGGAAACACTGCGGGGCAGGGCAGTTGAGCTGTGTCCCAAAGGGTCACTGAGTCGGTGACTGTCAGTGGGTTTGATTTCTTTTTCAGCAGAAGGTGATGGAGAGCCCTTGAAGGATTTCCAGAGTAGGATAATCTCTTGAATTTTAGAAGAAATGTGCTGGTTGCGTCCCGGAAGATGAAGTGATGAGTCTGGATAGAAGGCAGATGACCCGCAACCATTAGCAAGGCAAGAAATGGCATGAGAGAGCAACAGTGGGCGCTGATGTGGACCTCTATTGTGGAGGCCATATTCTAGGGCCTCCGGGGACCTTATTCTAGGTCTACAGCAGGCGGGGAGGTGGACACACACCTAGACTGGGGTAGGAGTTCAGTCCCCCTTTACAAGGGCCTGAGAGCATCGCAGCATGGCCACCGGCAAGTTAATTTACATCTCTTCATCAAAATGGGCTAATGGTTTGTCTGCTTCATAGGGTGATTATCAGGATTAAGTTACTGTTTATAAAATGTGTAGGAGAGTGCCTTGTCCTCACTGAGCACTGGATGTATTAACTATAATGGCAGAGAATCCCAATGGATGTGAAGCATGGTAGCTGAAGGACCTGGATCACATATGGCCCTTCTCGCCCCTGAAAGAATGTTTCCTGGGCACCAGGACACCTTTGAACTGTTGGGAACACATACCCTTTAGGACGAGGAAAGTCTGTGAGTAGGCTGCACTCACCCAACTCTGTCATTCAATGCCTTTATTGCTGTCTCCATTCCCCAGGGCAAGAGACAGGCACAGACAAGCAGTGAATCACAGAGTGCTGAGCTGAAAGGCAACCCAAGTCTTGGGGCCCCAGTGGAGAAGCCCTATTTATTACAGGAGTCTACTGCCCACCCTGAGTGTACTCAGTGCTTGGTTCCTGGGTCTGCCCACCTGGCTGGTGGGTCAAGAACATTGAGCACCCCTCCCAGTCACCCCCTCCTCAGCCTCTGACCCCCAGGAGTCCTGCAGTGCCCTTCTGGCTTGGTGGGGGTGTCTCACTGTTGGCTTTCCATTCGGTGCAGATCTGAGGCAAGGGATTTGCCTGGAGAAAAGGGACATCGTTCCCATCTTCCCCTGAGGACAGCTTAGGAGTGGATGAGTCTGGGGCTCAGTGGCCGTGTTCCTACCAGTCATCACTATCCACAAGCCACCCACTTCTAAGAGGTAGCCGGCCCATCTGCAGAGTCTGGTCTGCCCCTCACCCTACTGGGAAAGGCTAACGTGACTGCAGACCACCTCACCCCTTCCTGGGGGACGGAAAAGGAGGTTAGTCCAAAGCTGGGCATCCTTCCCTCTCTTTCCCCTGCTAGGAACCCCTCCCCAAAATATAGCACATCCCCCAGCTAGAAGAGGAGAGCTTGGAGGCAAGTCAGCTGACGCCAGCAGCGGCCTATGGAGTCAGCCACTGCCAAGACACAGAGTTCCTGAGTGACTCAGAGCCAGCCCCTCTCCTGGGCCTCTGCTGTCCCTGCAAGTGTGGTGGGTTACATTCCAAGATTCCACAGACTCCAGGGGGCTCATGTGGTGCCTGGAGCTGGGGCTCAGGCTGCTTATCTGCAGAGCTCTGACACCCCTGGGCTAGGCTGGAAGTTGGTGCGTCCCACTCTCCCAACCCTGGGCTCCTTGCACATAGGCAGAGTGGGAGGACTTAGCACTAGGCTGGGAGTGGAAAACAGGACTTAACCAAGAGAGTGACGGGTGTACTGCAGGTCACCATTGTGTACTGTGCTGGCTCTGGTGTTTCCTCCTGTCTTCCAGGGGTGGGGCCTCGGGAGCATCTGTTATTGGAACATTGTGCTCCCTGTCTGGTTTCCAGGCGGGTCATCCTTTCCAATACCACAAAGATCTAACTCAATCTGAGCTTCCTTAAAGGTTTCATTCCTCGTGTATTTAGTGAGCACCTATTATGTGTCAGGCACTGGTGTCCCACTAGGAACAGGAGTTCACAAGAGTGAACAGGAGCCACAGATCAGAAGGATGGCACCGTCATCGACCCTCAGAGATGGGGGAGGCAGCAGGAAGGGCAGGCTTGAGGGTGAAGCTTCATTTGGGACAAGTTCAACTTGAGAGTTCTCTGAAGCTTACCAAAAGGTTAAGCAGTTTGAGTTCACCAGCAGCTCCTCTGGATAAAGACCTGTCAATGGACTCCTATAAAGATTACAGCCTAGGAAGCCCCATGGGCCAGTTCTACTGTGGCTCATGAGGTCCCTAGGAGTCAGAACCAACTTGACAGTGTTAGTTTATCTAGGGAAAGATGAGAGTAGGCAGGTCTGGGCTGGCGACATCATTTGAGATATTCTGGTATTTGGATGGCCTCTAAAATCAGGAGAGACTGGCTGCGATTATCCAGAGGAACTGAAGAAAGGGTCCAAGGAGCGATGAACTCAGATAAGACCAGGAGAGCGAGGAGTGCTAGAGGCCAAGTTCAGAGAGGACAGTGCCTTGTGCTGCTGAGAGACCCAGGGGGCCGTGTCTATTGTGACCTTGAGACCAAATGCGATGATCAGACTTTGCCTGGCCGGACTCTTGAGACTACTCTGCTTTTACCTGTCCATTAGAGAGAGCTTCATGATCCAACCCATATAGAATGATTTATGGGTTCTTGTCCATGAGGGACTTTGGTTTTGCTGTTCCCTCTTCTTGGAATGCTCTTTAGACCCCAGCTCCAAGCAGCCATCTTTCAGGCAACCCAGGCCTCAGACCCCTGGAGTGAAAGTTCCATGTCTCCCCATCTGTCTGGAAGCTCCTGTAAGGCAGGAGTCATGTGAGTCCAGCACAGAGCAGGGGCCCAGTAGGTGCCTGGTAAGTCTGTGGAGTCATTGGATATTTGTTGACGAGTCACTCCTGGGATGTGCTCTGTGCCACCCCTTCCCACTGCAAACTGTGGGTAGGCATGTGGGTGTGGGCAAAGAGGTGGTTTCTGCAGATGGAACTCCTGGAAGGCAGGGACTGTGTCTCCCTCTTTCAATATCACTAGCTCCCAGTACAAGGCCCGGCAGACAGTCT